GAAGGAAGGAAGGAGGGCAGAGGGAGGCAGGGAAAGAGAAAGGAAAGGAAAGAAGGAAGGGAAGGGAGGGGGAAAGGGAGAGGGTTAGAGAGGAAGGGAGAGAGGGAGGGAAGGGATGGAAAGTATTTGAACACACATTCAGGGTGGATAAAATATATTAAGTGGTTTACTGAAGATTTTTTTTTTCCTAATTCTTGACAGAAGTGTCAAACAAAAAGAATGGAAGAGGCCTTCCTACTCAATCAAACATCTGTAGTAACATATTTTCGACTTAGCGGTTTATCTTTAAATCGGGAAGTACAGATGGCTGTGTTTTTCATATTCCTCATCTTTTATGTTTTAACACTGATTGGAAACATCCTCATTGTCATAACTATCATCTATGACCACCAGCTCCATACTCCCATGTATTTCTTCCTTAGTAATCTGTCCTTCATTGATGTCTGCCACTCCACCGTCACTGTCCCCAAGATGCTGAGAGATACCTGGTCAGCAGAGAAACTCATCTCCTTTAGTGCTTGTGTGACCCAGATGTTCTTCCTGCACCTCTTTGCCTGCACAGAGATCTTCCTTCTCACTGTCATGGCCTATGATCGGTACGTGGCCATTTGTAAGCCCCTGCAGTACATGACAGTGATGAACTGGAAGGTATGTGTGCTTCTGGCAGGGGACCTCCGGACAGGGGGGACCATCCACTCCATAGCCTTGACCTCCCTCACCATCAAGCTGCCCTACTGTGGTCCTGATGAGGTTGACAACTTCTTCTGTGACATACGCCAGCTGGTCAAACTGGCCTGCACAGACACCCATGTCATTGAGATCCTCATTGTCTCCAACAGTGGGCTGATCTCTGTGGTCTGTTTTGTGGTCCTTGTCGTTTCCTATGCAGTCATCCTGGTGAGTCTGAGGCAGAAGATCTCCAAGTGCAGGTGAAAGACCCGGTCCACGTGTGCAGCGCACCTCACCGTGGTCACACTCTTCCTGGGACATTGCATCTTCATCTACTCCCGCCCATCCACTAGCCTCCCGGAGGACAAGGTGGTCTCTGTGTTTTTCACTGCTGTCACCCCTTTGCTGAACCCCATCATCTATACCCTTAGGAATGAAGACATGAAGAATGCCTTGAAAAAGGTCATGGGGAGGAAGGAGAAGAAAGATAAAAAACTAAAAAATACAGACCATTAGGATGCTCAGTGCTCCAAATCAAAGACACTGGCAAAGAATGAGACAATATTTATCAGACTATGTAAAATATAAAATTGTACTCTGACCTAATATCTAGCAATCACAGCAATAGCTATGGTCACAAATACCTTTCTATTTTTTCACAAATATCTTTCATAAGCTGCAAATTGTTCTAGGCTCTGCGCACTTACTGAATTCTTACAAAAATCATGGACAGTAGGTATGTTTACTTGCATGTGAGAAAACTGAAGCTCTAAGAGAGCACATAGGATGCTCAAAATCACCATCTTGGAAATGGAGTCAAGATTTAAGGAGAGTGAAGTACATAGCTCAGGGGCAGAGCTTGTGCTTAGCAAGCTCAGTGGCTTGGGTTTGCGTCTCAGCACTGTTTATTTTAGGGAGGGGTCTACAGGGTTTCAGAATCTCACTACTAGATCGGACTCATAGTGATCCGCCTGTTTGTAACCTCCCAACTGCTGGAATTACAGGTAAACACCACCATGCTCAATCCCAATTGCCATTTCAGCACACCCCATGGGTGGGGCCGGCACAGCAGACCTGGGGATGGAACTGCCAGCCCCTGGGCCTGCTTGCAGGTGCTTTAATCCGCTGAGCTACTTGGCCGGCCCCTCATCACCATTTACAAAAATGGTAGGACTGGGGCCGGGGAGATGGCTCAGAGGAATAAGCGCTTCCCTGGCAAGCGCAAGGGCCTGAGTTCAATCCCCGGTTCCGCAAAAAAAAAAAAAAAAAAATGGTAGGACATAAATAAACCCAAACATATCAACCAAATGAAAGTTATTTTCATTACATCATACTGCCTTTCCTGCTTTCTGTTAGGGTAAATAACCAAGGTCGAAACAACACTTCCAATTTCTAGGTATCATTCACTCAGTTGTTTTCCTAAACAGAAAAAGTTGAGCAAACACTGGTGAATCAGACAGCATGGGTTTGTACGTGACTCTACTGACTGAGGAAGACTTTGAAGCATTGACAGTATTAATACTATCAAGTATCTCGCAAAATCTAGCAGCCTAAAGGCTGCCCAGATAGCTTAGGGGACTAAAGCTCGTGCCTCGGCAGAGCACAGCATCTGGGGTTTGATCCCTGGCATGCCAGGCCAGTCCCATCCCCAGGGCATGCTGAGACCATAATTGAGTCTGAGTATGGTGGTGCGCTCCTTTAATCCCAGCACTTGGGAAGTTAAAGACAGGAGAATCACTACAAGTCTGATCTATGGAGTGAGACTCTGTAGACCCTCTAGACACTATACTAAACACAAAAAAAATCTAGCATTGTAGCAATAAAAAGAGATTTTTATTATTTAGTAATTTAGTAAATATGTACTGGGTACCTAACTTGTGCTAGATACCAATTTTATAGTCACAAATAGAATATACATGTAGCCCCCCTTCATTGAGCTTAGAGCCTACTAAAAATAGAAAATAAAAATATGAAGAAAATTTAATTATAGATATAATAAATGCTGTTAAAATGTTCGTGTGAAAAAACTGTCTTTAGATTGAGTTGCTAAGGAAAGCAATATACATTTATGCTGATTTGTGAAAGATGGAAAGGAGCCAGCCATGAGAAAAGAAAGGGGATGAACATGCAAGCAGCGGAAATGGTAGCTACCAAGACCTTCTGGGGAAAGACCACAGCTCCTCCTGACAGGTGAAGTCAGGGTGCTTACTTCTTCAACCCTATGGCAGAGAGGAAAGCGATGACATTGGAGAGATAACAAAACAGCCTGCCATGTTTTTTCAAGGTATATAGAACCTTTTTCAGTACAATGGGAACTATAATGATGTAATCAGAGAAATGCATGACATGATTTCTCACCCAATATTGGTCCCAGAGGTGAGAGAAAATAACAACTTGAATAAAACATAGTCTAGCCAATGCCCAGAATTCAGTTGAGTCTAGCAGTAGCACAGCGGTGTATTCTGAGTGGACTGGAAATATATACAGTGAATGGTGTCCCACACATGTAATTACAAAAAAGCATGGCATACAGGGAATCGACTGTTCACTCTCACTCCATCAGTAAGAACATCACAGTGAGACCCACTTGGGATTTCTGGAGCCATTAGGGAGCATATAATCAATATATCTCTAGGCCAAAAGCTCATCTCTATTTTTAATGGTATTTTTGCCAGAAAATGTGTTGGGAGGGAAACAAGCTATACAAGCCGCACAAGCTACAGAAGTCCAATAACTAAGAGAGTAGTCTTTTGTTAAAGATTATCTTCTAAAGGGCCAGGAAGATAGCTCAGCAGACTAAGTGTCTGCTTAGGCAAGTGCAGGGACAGGGTTCAGTCTCCGACACCACATGCTGCACTGGCTCTCCCCCTGGGTGCACTGAGCCAGCCACCGAATCCAGGTGCGGTGGCACAAGCCTATAATCCCAGCACTGGGGAGGCTGAGACAGAGATCACTGCAAGTCTGAGCTGCATAGTGAGACCCTGTACCAAATACATTTTTTAAAAAGATCAGCCTATATATGGCATAAAATTTTCATTTCTACTGGTTGAGAAAATACATGAAACAAATTTGAGAATTATAGGATTTGTGTAAAATAAATGCTCTCTTATTATAAGCAGAGGAAGACAGTAAGGAGATGTAACTTCCCAAGGAGTCCAAATAGAAGCACTTTGTGCAGGAATCAGCTGCACAAAGCAAAATATGATGCGACAGATGAGACACTGCTGCTGGTCCTCAAGGTTGAAGCTGGCAGAACTGTGACAGAAAGCTGTCATGTTTGCTGCTTCTTTTCAAAGCAAGCAAAATTTCTGACTCTATTTTCAGTTGCATTAACTGTCATACCTCTCTGGGAAGATAAAATAATACATTTATTCTCCATTTATTCTCTAAAGTACATTCTCAAAATGTACTTTAGACTCTAGACAAGATTGAAAATGTGTTCACTTAATAACTGAAAAAATACTAAAGAATAAAGTGAAAATACTTTACCTTCTGGTTCTGTGGTTGACTCAGGACCTTGTGCTTGCCAAGCAGGTGCTTATTCTACTGAGCTATCTCCCTGGCCTGTGTAGTTGACTTTTTAAAAGAGAGTCATTATTTATCCATATGAAAATTTGTTCAGCTACTTTTTTATTCAATAACTGAATTCATCAGGCTACAACTATCTTGCATGAAATATAGAGGTGAATATGCCTTGATACAAATAAGCAAAGCACTGAGAATTTATTTCTCAGTAAAAGATATTGATGGGATAAATATCTGTCCATGTACAAGTCCAGAATGTAAGGCATAAGAGGTTTATCCTCTGAGTCTTTATACATTAGTAGTGCTATCTGGACCTTATTTCATAGAGATATATAAAATGCTTATTGACTTGAGTTTCTATGAGAATTACAAGGCACTGGCAATATTCTATACTTGTTTGTCAATTTATAAGCATTAATTTTGATGAGCTTCTTTGAGTTTAATAGATTTGATTTTTTGTCCTTTTGAATATTTTCTGTCATTTCAATTATTTATAAGCTTTGAATTAGAGTTAGTGGGTCAATTGTGCTGTATGGTGCAGCCCTTCTACTGTCCTTGAGGACCTAGTCAGCACAAGACAAGAAAAAGAAAGCAATGTCATGAAGACTTGCAAGGAAGAGGTAAAACTACCCTTATTTGTAGATAACATCATTATGAATGTAAAAACTCCTAGAAATGTTGAGGGTGTAGCTTAACGGTAGGGTGCTTGCTGAGCATGTCCAATACCTAGGGTTCCAGCTCCTGGCTCCAACACTGAAAAAGGGTGAGGGGGAAAAAGTTTAAAAATCTAACAGAATATATAAGTGAATTTAACAATGTCATAGAACTAAAAAGGATGTATATAAGTGAATTATATTTGTGTATACTGCTAACAAACAATTTTTTACTGTTACAATAACTTTATCTTGCATTTTACAGAAGTCTGTGAATGATTTTTAAAAAGTCCCTCCTTAGCCCATCATGTTTCTCTGACAGCTGTTAAAGTAGGCAATAAGTGTGTCAACAGTTTGAGCATCAGCAAGGATTTCAGTTCAACCAACCACTCACCAAAGAACTTGGCAGCTTTTTTATCTTGTTTTTAATACAATGATAAATCTGATGGTAACCCTGTCCAGCCAATTCCTCAGAACACGCTTTGCAAAATTCAGTGGTGATTAACAAATTAGTAAGCTTTGGCACGGAGCTGTGCCTGCTTGCCTATGACAGCCTGGAAGCCAGTTTTAATACTGGCAACAGGGCATCGAGAATGACAATATTCACACTGTGAGAAATAGAGCCAGGTGTCCTTCTGCAGAATTGTATCCGGTGATTAGCACATGTGACAAGTGACATATTCCTTGATATATCTTCTTAAGACATTTTCTATCTGTTTCTATTGGAATCTTCCTTTGATTACAAGTTGGTTATTGCTGTCTATAGAACCAGATAGAATAGAAATTATAAACAAATAGAATTATAAACAATTGAAGTTAACAATAACATGAAAAAGCATAGGATGGCTGAGGACAATTTTAATGATATATATCTAATTACAAGTGAAAATGACTAACACTGTTGAGAGAAATTAAAGAATGTCTAAAGAAAGTGATAGATAGGTGAACACTCAGGGATGAAAAGATTGAATATTGCTGAGATAATTCTGTCAAATTGATCTGTAGACTCAAAAAAAGTCTAATGTAAGTTCTAGCATTTAAAAATACAAGCATTTCTAAAATGTACATTAAAATGCAAAGTACTTAAAATAGCAAAACAAGCAAAAACAACAAAACATGATTTTTGAAAAAAACATGGCAGTTTTTAATATATAATTTCAAGACCATTATGAAACTAAAATGACCAAGACATTCTGTTAGAGGCATAAATTCATGTGTCAGAATAAAAGATCAAAAAATAAATTTTCACTTGAAGTGTCAATTATTTCAACTAAAGTGTTAACAAAGATTCAACAAAGAAAGGTACTGAATCAAATACATAGACTGAAAACTAAATCT